AACAGGTGGTCATAGGAACTAGAAGGCGTAATATAAGCTTAGATTATTTAAAAAAAAATAAGTATATGCTTAAATATATTTATATTCAGAAAAACCGGAAGATAAAGAAAATGTCTCCAAAAAAAACATGCATTTTTATAGTTAATATGAATAGGACCATAAACTATAACAAATAAAAACTTAGGATATACTTTAGTGATAAAAATTGAAGCCTCCTGGGGACTAGGCAAATTGTGCACGCCTAGAAGTAAAACAGTAAATAATAACTCACTATAGAGTAGGTGAATGTAAATAATGTGCATCAAGTATAACTATAAACATTAGTTCAGCATCTTAACCACCATAATAATAGTTTACGAAATTCGATTCATGAATAAGAGTAAAGTTATCCACTTTCATAACCCTATAGTGGATGACTATAGATATAGGCAGTAACATATGGCAAATATAGTACAATTGAGAGAGTATAGAATCTTGACATTACTCATTATGAATTAAGGTATTCAGATGATTCGGTATTGTACAAATTTCTTCTTGGTACAGAGCTTTGAACTGTTTATTCGAATTACCTATAGCCTCAGCTATACGTAAAAGATGGACTCGAACTCCATCGGAAAGGTTCGGTGTCAATTAGATAAGACAAAATAGAGCTTCTTATCGATTTAACCTGTCCTGATCACAGAGTAGACAAGACAGAAGCGTTCAAAATGATTTACTGCATACCATCGAATCTTTCCGGTGATTAGGTATTGTGTAAAACAAGATAAGATTCAACGAGAATAGCTGACCAAGTTTAAGCTATTTAAAAGATATTATGCATATAGACATTTATTGTACATATAATCACGAACTACTAAAAAAAGTACAAGAGGATTTCTTTTTCCCCTTATACTCTAGCATCTTTTAAGTTTCATAACTTTAGTAAAACTTATGCAAAAAACAAGATTTATTATAAACAGTGAAGATTACCAGTTTGATGTTATCGTCTGATATTTTTAACTCTGTTATCGCTAACATTTTACCCTACAATTAGTAAAGTGATCTATACAGAATCGAATTACTCGACCTCTGTTGGCAGATGGGCTCTTGTGTAGATGTCCTGATACTGCCCAATTGCTCATTATGTTGTTGACTGCTTGGGGGACAGTAGTGCGATCTAAGATGTACGTTCCGTCCTATTTGAGACTCGTCAGCTGAATATACTTGCACCCCAGTGAGTGATGTTGTTCTGATTCGAACTCTAACCTCTTACCCATGGCTCCAAACTCCAAACTGTCGTCTACTAGACCTCTCGAGTACGAGGACCACTTCTTATGCAACAGGTATCAGTTATCGCTTGATAGTTGTAACCTCCTGTTGACATAATGGAGTGAATCGCCAGACCTCTATCAAATGCTTGAAATAAGATAAGATTCTTAAGCTGTAAGGTAGTGGACACAGTATACACTTATATGCGGGTCACAGGTAGTATCAAAGAAGATAACATAATGATTATCGTTTTGATTATCTGAGGTAGCCGTGGTTTTGCAGACTAATACTCTTACTGGGTGATGATTGAACGTGAGATGAAAATTTGAACCGTGGCAGGATTCCAACCAGTGACCACCAGATTTCCTGGCAGATGTGAATAAGATCAAGTGGTAGTAAAATGTCATCAGTCCATATGGTAGTCGGGAGAAACCCTTGGTGATTGAAGTTAAACAAAAATCCGGCCAACAGACGTCTGCCCTAGTTCAGTTGGTAGGGCAACGGGACAGAAACCCGGTTATCGCTGGTCTGAATCCCACCGTGGTCCAAATAATATATCATCATTTTCATGTATAAATGGAAAAGGAAATAAGTTGATCGTTAGCAACATACAGACGAACGAATATGAAGACAAACTTTCACCACCAAGGAAATACGCTGAATTCAATTCATTATTGAGATTTAAGCCTATTAATTGTTGATACTTGTTATACATTTTACTCAATTGTTCATAAATAAGTTAATAAGTATTTACTACCTCCAAAATTTACAAATGAGAATCACTGATCAGCAAGAGTGCGCGAGTTATTTTTACCTTTACATCTATAATTCTTAAGAAATATAATGTGACAAATTACAGAATTCTGTCAAATAATTGTAAACATTTGTGGCTTTCTTCGCTATGCTACTTGTAAAGTATTTAAGTAAGATCATATTTCACTCAAAAGTTATCACCAGATATTAAATCGTTGAAAAATGGTGGGGCCATAAATAGATGTTTTTTAGTCCCAGAACAAATTCAAACTAACTCAACGGTGAGCCTTCCCCGGTATCTCTTGAATACCTTTTGAAGATAACATTATTACTGAAAATAACGAATTACGAAAGTCGAGGTAGCTTAGAAAGATAATTAGCCGGATTATTACCATATCAGTATCAGGCTTATTTTCATGACCAGTATAACAATGATTACTGCACAAAAATGCTTAACAAAAGCTACTTAGAGAAAAGTAGTGATATAACTTTGGCTTAAATATATATGTGTGGACACTTGAACAATAGCCTTCAGAGTCCTATCCCTGATAATCTAACAGTTACTAGGTAAGTAGGGAAAGGCGGTATGACAACGGTTTTTTGCAGTATCAGAATACACACAAACATCAACAGTTTACACATATTCACAGTGGCCCTGACCATCTCACGGCGCTTCTTAAATAGTACCAACCACCATCAACGGGGGAAATCGAAAGGAAGTTGTCTCTTTCACGTACATACTGACCTACCTACCTACCCACCCACCTACCTATCGACCTACCTAGACAGCATCGTTTCAACTACAGGTGGCACAGCCAAACATGACGATATCAAAGCTAACCACGATCGAAACAACAGCAAGACAGGCAGGCATTCCTTCATCAATCTGAAATAATCAGTATGGAGATCTACTACACTCCACTGCACTGCACTTCATTGCACTGCAGTCAGCATAAAGCGTGAACGAGATCCGGATTTTCAACACCAATTCAGTCAAGTAAATCAGTGCTTCTGTGTGATGCTTGAGAGACTTGGCGTGTTACGAAAAGCATTTCCAATAAACTGTAGACATACATCATACATGAACATCTGCCACCTACGCTCAGTCGATACTGATGATGGAGATGAGACGGATGGTGAGAATAATACGAATGAGCAAAGATGAACTGTGTCTGGTTGGCTGGCTGGTTGGCTGCCTGCCTGCCTGCCTGCCTGCCAGCCTGGCAACGAACCAACGAAGTAAGAACCCATCACTCAACAAATATGCAGAAGGAGAAGTTAGAGATGGATTGGATTGGACACAGACTAAGTCGACCATTTTGGGACATCACGCGTCAGGCCAAGCCAGACCAGGTCACGCCAGGCCGTAGATTGGAAGCCAAATGGGAAACGACGAGTTGGGTGTCCGAGGTGAGGGTGACATGGAGGAGATGGTGTGAGGAAGAAGTGAAATGAAAGCTTGTGGGCAGTTGTGGAGTCAGGTTGGCAAGACTGTATAGAAGAGAGTGAGATGGTGACGTGCTACTGAATATCTATGTTCCACTAGGAACCCAAAGGAAAAGAAAAAAATGATTAATTTTTACCTCTTCAACCAATCTGGTATTTACACTCTTACTGACGTGATTTTTCTCAGAACTTCATGGCAAAACGGCTGCTTGTGAAAGGTACCAGGGATTTAGGGATTCTTGTGCTGATTCTTTCGATGTTATTGCACACCGTAGTAATAAATATAACTCATTGTACTAAATATAAACAATCTTAACGTTTCTACACAGTGATAAAATAACATGCATAACAAAAGAATACCAAAGAGACGAAGCATGCTATGATACCATAAAGTATGAGATGAGGAAATAGAAGAGAGTCCTTCGAAGTTGAATAGCTACTAGCTTAAAACTATGAACTGAAGACAGAAGTTGTACTTTAAAAGCAAGACGTTGGAATGCATTAACAAAGATTTAGATGCTATCAGATTTAAATAACATCTGAAAAGGATTAGAATTGTTAATACTAAAAATATCAGGTCTCTTGAGTCATTTTCGGTAAATACTAGTACAAAAGTATGGCTCTAGTCAAAACCGTGTTCAAGAAAATTAAACTTAAAATAGAATTCATCACCATCCGAAAGTGCCTGAACTACAGTGGTTATCAACCAAGGTTAATTAATCAATGGATGACAGGCAGAACGGTTGATAAGAATTCCACTTTTTTTTACCTTAGGTGAAGACTGTTGACAGGTTAAGTGTGAGTCAGATGTTATATTCAAGAATATTTATCAAGTATACGATTTGATTTTCCCGTATCAAACCAACCATATGTTTTAAACACCGAAAATTCAACACTGTGCTTTGAACTATATTTACCTGCTCCGAAATACTCGTGGAAGTAAATCGATTCAGAGAACAAGCGAAATAAACTCTGCATGTGTTTGCATACATCTGGTTAACAACTTATCATCAAAGGCTTACAGGTTTTTATTAGTGCAGTTGTTTGAGACCTATTTGTTAACGATTATAGTATTGATGTAAAAAAGGATTTTAAAACTCAGTCAAACTTGTGAAATCAGGAGGGAATAGTCGTCGGGTTTTCACTGCGTTAGCAATTTTACTTTTTTTCGACTTATAACTGATTGTATAATATTACTATTTCAAGTTCTGTCTTCATTTTTCGTACCGCTTTTATAGTATGAATTTAGTAAATCCTATTCTGCAACTGAAAACCGATCTTGAACTTTGGCTATGTCCAAGTAATCTGTTTTATAACTGACCTGGTTGCGGCTAGCAATGGAACCAAAGACGCACGTTTTGTCCTATTTAGGATCCGTCAGCCAGATGTACCTACACCACAGTGAGTGATGTTTCTTCCACTAGATTTCAGAATTTTAAAAGCAGTTAGGAACGAAATCAAAACCAGTGTAAACCCCTTTATAGTTGTAAGTTTATAATTGAGCACAAAGATGATAAAAAATAGAGGAAAGATAAATACATAAATGTACTTACCTGATTCATAAGTCAGTTTCCTGTAGTTCCAGTCGCTGTTAGCATTTCGGAAGAGAATCAGACGGAAAGAGATTTAGAAACAGGATAAAAATTAAAACGTCTTGTGATTATATTGTCATATAACCAGTCAGTTTTCTGACTCACTGATTCAAGAGTGTAGTACCCAGTAGAAGAGTCATAAACTAGTTATTTCACAAGCGAAAATAAAATAAAAATATAACTTTGACAACTCATTTTAATTTCATAAATTGTTTTTCCCTCACAAATTTTAAGGGGGGAACAGCCATTTATCTGCTGAAATGACGAAAGAATGTGTTAGATATTGTGTATATATTTATACCGAGCTTTCTTTTAGCTTGTAAGTGGGTAAAAAGAATCTGCTACATAAAATAGGTTTACATCATTTTGCGCATAATACTATCCTTTCAGTACTAAAATATTTCGAATAGCACAGTTTACTACTTACTAACATTCAGTAGGCAAACGTTTTACCAGACATTAAAATCATAAGCGTAATCTTTTAAATGCTTATTCCACAATGTTTTTAATATAGTATGAAGTGCTAAGTGTGTAATATACCGACAGATTTATTACTTGTACAATATTTCCAAGTGAAACGATTATGCTATGTGAGGTGTTAATAACAGCATTATGACAAGTAACAATATATAACGACTACTTGTTACTAGGTTATCGCCTAGTTTGTGCATAGGTTTTTTTCCCGAGAGTCAGTATGAAAATGTGTAGTCCCAATTAATTATCTCCATAACAGTTACATGATTCGCTGCTGTGAGTTCAATGAACCGCTGACGTTTACCATGATACTTTTTCTGAATTTCGTTCTTAACTTATGAAACGATATGTTGAAGACATTTTAAGAATATGCAGGATTATGTGCTTCGATTTGCTGACTGTTTGATGATTAAAACAAGATCAGGTGGGGTGATTTGATCTGATATATTCGATGGGAAATTTTCGGTGACCCAACATTTCAGCAAGCCGAGTAGTAATAATTAAACTACTACCGTTTATGTAGAGTATAATTTGACTCGTTTTGTGATCCTGATTATAAATTGATGTAGCATTCAAGTACATCCATGTGAATGAACATTGAAAACATCCGGCTACATATCAGAAAGCGGCATTCTACTCTGTATACAACTATCAATCTCATTACTCAGCATTCGCGTCTACATTACAAGTATTTCTAAGTTATATTTTTTTCTATCTAAGTAGTACTTAATCAAATATAACACACGCACACCAGTGCATAAAGAAGCTTTATGGCTAAAATCTATACTTACCTGAACATTTGTTGTTATCGTATCAGAAGCTAGTGTAGAGTCTAGCTCTGGTTGTTGAATGAAATTACTTTCGCAGTTGAGTACAATCTCTTCAGCCTACAAAGAAAAATAAAAAGATGAAACACAAAAGTAAATAAAACTTTTTAAGAAATGCCTCTATATTTAAATATTTTCACCCGAAAAAGCGAAAGTGTTACACAAATTAGGCATTCAAAGATCATGTGAAGACAGAATACATGGTTATATAGAAACAAACCTGTATTTAAAAAAAATTACGCAAATTTTTCAGATAGCTTCAGTTACTAGTTTTTACAGACGAAAATGTATAATTGAATTCTAAAAAATAGCTCTCAGGGAAGCCTTCACACATAATTTCCTCTCAGTGATCATATTTATTACTATTATTATTTGTCTTTAAGGTTACTAGTGGAACATAGAAATTCAGTAGCACGTCACCATCTCACTCTCTTCTATACAGTCTTGCCAACCTGACTCCATAACTGCCCACAAGCTTTCATTTCACTTCTTCCTCACACCATCTCCTCCATGTCACCCTCACCTCGGACACCCAACTCGTCGTTTCCCATTTGGCTTCCAATCTACGGCCTGGCGTGACCTGGTCTGGCTTGGCCTGACGCGTGATGTCCCAAAATGGTCGACTTAGTCTGTGTCCAATCCAATCCATCTCTAACTTCTCCTTCTGCATATTTGTTGAGTGATGGGTTCTTACTTCGTTGGTTCGTTGCCAGGCTGGCAGGCAGGCAGGCAGGCAGGCAGCCAACCAGCCAGCCAACCAGACACAGTTCATCTTTGCTCATTCGTATTATTCTCACCATCCGTCTCATCTCCATCATCAGTATCGACTGAGCGTAGGTGGCAGATGTTCATGTATGATGTATGTCTACAGTTTATTGGAAATGCTTTTCGTAACGCGCCAAGTCTCTCAAGCATCACACAGAAGCACTGATTTACTTGACTGAATTGGTGTTGAAAATCCGGATCTCGTTCACGCTTTATGCTGACTGCAGTGCAATGAAGTGCAGTGCAGTGGAGTGTAGTAGATCTCCACACTGATTATTTCAGATTGATGAAGGAATGCCTGCCTGTCTTGCTGTTGTTTCGATCGTGGTTAGCTTTGATATCGTCATGTTTGGCTGTGCCACCTGTAGTTGAAACGATGCTGTCTAGGTAGGTCGATAGGTAGGTGGGTGGGTAGGTAGGTAGGTCAGTATGTACGTGAAAGAGACAACTTCCTTTCGTTTTCTCGCGTTGATGATGATTGATGCCTTCTTGTTGTTGTTATTGGTTATATATTCCTTATAAATTTACTCGTTGATAAATAAATTACGGTTGGTATGATAAACTTGAAAAGGTGAGAAAATGCCTTATTCCAAATAATCAAATATTAAGGTGTGGATTAACATTATTTGGCGTACTTTATTGTTTGAATGTAGAAGAGGAATGTTTTGTTGAATATTTTGAAGATAAAATGAATGTCTTATGAGATAAGAAGTTTTTCGCATTCAGGATTAACTAGTACTGAATATATTAGCCCTGTTATAAGGATGACACACGAGGTTCTGCAGGATTGTTTTAATGACTACCTATATATTAACTAAGGTTAAAATTGACTTGCTAGGGAAATTTTTTAAAATTTCTTTTTCCTCGGAGCTTTTTTATCAGCTTACTCCATTTTACTGAAACTCTGTACTGTCTTCCATTTCCTAAGGCAGTAGTGAATTATACTGACTACAACTTCGAAATATATGTTGTGAATTATCTTGTGTACTGACCTTCTAGAGTGTTTTTATCGTAAATCCCCTACACATTTCAACTTGATCTTGATTACCAACAACTGAGTGGCGACTAGAAATTTGATCTAGTGAAAAAGATAGCCCAAGTTCATCAGGTGCTTTGATTAGCTAGTTACCATTCAACCACTTACTTTAGAATTGGATCTTTTAAATTCTTATTCTGAAATCCACCACTTCATTAGAATTAAAAACCGGTTTAACATTTTCACATTGCTGATGAAATGAATATCGATAAGATATGAAAGTAAAAAATTACATAATGATATATCTTATCAGTTAATAGGAGTACTATTTCATAATTGAAAATTGCTTTTCATTCTGAGACACTAATTAGAAACGAGAACATCATTAGATTGAATTCTTTGTACAACTGAATTGAAGGTCAAGTGTAGTTCGGTAACATAACTTAATCCACTGCTCAGTGAGTAATTTAACCCTAATCTTCTTCTGCTAATCGATATGTGTTATGAAATGCACCGTAATTAGGAGTTTGTCCATTAAGCAGAAAATAAGTGTACACAGTTTAACAATAAACTTAGAAACGTCAGTCATTTTCTAGAGTTCAACAAACTCCTATGATAAAAAATAGCTTAAACTGCAGGGAACTATACTTGAAATAAATAACTCACAAATATACTCATATGATTTGGATCAATTTCGATGGGACATACAAGTTCATCACTATCATTATTTCCTTTATATCCACGATTTGAATGAAATAGACTTTTCTTTTTGGTAGGCTATTTTAAAAGATAAAAATAAAGTGAATTTAAAAGTTTATTGAAATCAGCCAAAATATTTGTCTTTATGATAGAATAAAGTAGGATATATCAGTAATGAAGCCAGTATGATAAACTCTTAAACTTATTGTTCAGAATTAGTTCAAACACTGTAGATTTTCTATGAATATCCAACAATCTAAACCAGTTATTATATACATATATACTTGGCTGTTACAGAATTAACACTTTCAAGGAACACAGTTTACTCTCAAAATATGCTTTATGATCCCAGTTGAAGACAATTTGAATATCAGGCTAAATATAATTTAGATTAATTAGACTATCCAAGACTGACTTAAACGTGAGCAGCAAGTCAAAAATGCAACAGATTCTATATTAGAAAAGATTTAAGATTAAGTTACTTCCTAACTTTTCAGCCATTCCCTTGTACATATGAACGAAGGAAGAACTTAATATGAAAGAAATTTGGTACTAAAGCTGAATAAAGATATAACAAAAGAAAAAAGGAAATATACTACTGCCATCAGTCGAAAGTGAGTAAACAGTGTTGACTAATAGAAAAATTCATAACAAAAGTTCTTCTGAAAGAATAGGACTTATAGGTTAGAGAAGAATTTATTCGCTAAGAATGCTTGTTTTCACTTTAATGCTAATCTGAAAGATCCATAACTAGTTACAGATAACTTACGATTTCCTAACTGATAAGTCTGGTCATTGTAATATGCAAAAATTGTTATCAAAACAATTTCATGCCTCATTTTTCTCACATTTAGTCTTGTTAAAAATACAGCAGTCACATGAATATTAGTGTGTTTATTGACCTTTTGTTAACCAGGAAGTAGCGTGCATGTTTTAATAACACCCATCGTACTCTTAAATTCCATCAAAATGTAATTAATATCAGATATAAAGTCTACCTTTAACAGGAACAATAAGAATCATAGACGCTCGGTTTTCACCAGCCATAAGGTTCATTCATAAACTTAAGAATTAGATTCCTATTTCCAATGACCGGTTGAAATGCTAAGCATTTTTTATTCTGAAAACATTTTAAAATCGTTTACAGTTAACGTTGGATACAAATCTCCGATAGGCTGTTTATATTAGATCCTGGAAGCAAGGTCAGTTTAATGTTGAAATAATGGAGAATATTTGTAACTCAGGTGGATGGTCTTGGTTGTATTGTGTTCTCTGAGCTGGATTGTTTAATCGTGAAGCTTTCATCGTCTTGCTAGACGACATCATCAGCACTAACTTCACTATGAAGTGAGCTGTCAATATTTCTCCGTGAGTGATCTAGTAGCTTGCTCTGACGATGTGGTTTGTGATTGGTTGCTTCCTACGATTGTTGTGTCGTTGATTGTATAGACTTTCCTGTTGGCTGTTCCTCTGCTTCACCTCTGACCTCTCTGTCGTTTATCACTTTTCTTATTGGTTGATAGATCGGGTCTATGTCTATACATCTATTGATTGCTGACTGACCTGAATACTAAGCTTCTAGGAATTCTCTGATATTTTTTGTGTTTCCCCTGTCCAAAATTTCTACATTGTCGAAATTGAACTCATGTCGGTAATTATCCACGTGCATTGAAATGAGTGATGAGATGTGGTGACGTTGGCTATTGCCAATTGGTGTTCATGTAGATGAAGGCGAACAGGGCGACCACTTTGTCCAATATAGTGCTGACTAGAGTTATTGCAGTTGATTTTGTAAATGTTATTCGGTTTATCTTCTTTGTTTGTTGCATCCTTCGGTCTACATAATAGTGTTTGGAGGGAATTTGTTGGTTTATGAGCCACACCAATTCCAAGTAATCTCAATAATCTTGTCGTGATTTCTGATACATTCTTTATGTATGGTAGGACGATGCGATTGTTGATTTCTGTCGATGACTTTGTAGTTGATGATGCAGGGGATAGGCATCTTCTGACAACGTTTCGTGGGTAGCCGTTCTTCTTTAGGGTAGGCATCAAGTAATTTTCTTCGTTTCTCCGTGAAGTTGTTGTGCTGTAGTGTGTTCTCGCTCTTTTGAATAGAGTCTGCATGCAACGGATAAAGTGGTCGCCCTGTTCGCCTTCATCTACATGAACACCAATTGGCAATAGCCAACGTCACCACATCTCATCACTCATTTCAATGCACGTGGATAATTACCGACATGAGTTCAATTTCGACAATGTAGAAATTTTGGACAGGGGAAACACAAAAAATATCAGAGAATTCCTAGAAGCTTAGTATTCAGGTCAGTCAGCAATCAATAGATGTATAGACATAGACCCGATCTATCAACCAATAAGAAAAGTGATAAACGACAGAGAGGTCAGAGGTGAAGCAGAGGAACAGCCAACAGGAAAGTCTATACAATCAACGACACAACAATCGTAGGAAGCAACCAATCACAAACCACATCGTCAGAGCAAGCTACTAGATCACTCACGGAGAAATATTGACAGCTCACTTCATAGTGAAGTTAGTGCTGATGATGTCGTCTAGCAAGACGATGAAAGCTTCACGATTAAACAATCCAGCTCAGAGAACACAATACAACCAAGATCAGTTTAATGTATATTAAAATGTCTAAGCCCTTCATGGTCTATCCTCCAATTCATTTCTAAAATGAAGACGAAATAAAGTAAAGAGATTCTGTAAACAGTTTGAACAACTAAAGCATTATTTCCCACTACGGAGTTTATTAATTCTAGCAGAAGCTTATCGAATTGACTGTAATATATAAGAATTTCAAATGTTTCTATAAAATAGCGAATATCATCGCGGACAGATGAAGAAGTAGTGTCACTTTAATTGTGATCGAAAAGTGTTAGTGAATGGCATATTCAGTATCTCTTATAGATCAGATTATGGATCTAGTATTTATCAACGCTGTTTGTTACTTTCAGAAACACTATATATTACTTAATATGTAAAAATGTTATTGTCTAATGGAAACAGACACTGGAAATTCCTCATTAGATTTTATCTTACTGTTTAGTTATACTCTAGAAATGATCATCTAACCGCCAGTAAGCTTGATTCCAGGTCAAGAATAGTTTTGTAAGTGATCTAAATTGCACAACGTACAGTCATACTATTTCTTTCAAAATGTCTGCTTACATGGGAGGTACTGTTAGTTCGAGTACGCCATTTTGACAATTAGAGAAGTCGAATATTATGCGAAACTATATTGCTACAAACTATGCAAATATTCACGATGTATAAATATGAATCGAAAAAAGTGTTTTCTTCTTAGGAAGTAAAGTTATGTAATGTTTTAACCAGTTATTTAACAACATTCATGAGGATTAACACAGTGAAATGAGTATTCCCTGAAATGAACGGATTAAAAAACCATCAAGCTTATTTGTATATGTGTATATGTGTATATATGTGATATGGCTCAGAACCGAAGTCAGTGGCGCAGATGTATACACACATTATCCTCATCTTAACAACGCTATACCGAATCTCACCATTTTGTCACTCCTCTTTCTTTTCTTTTCGTACTTTATATTTCTTTTGACTGCATTGACTTCATTCACTTATCTTCATCCTTCACCTCACTACCTTTTTACTTGATGTGCTGATATGAGGTGTGGCGACTCGGACCGTTACGCAGTAATGCCTGGTCCTATGTTGATAATGATGATGATGATGATGTATATGTACATTTCTTAAACACTGTTTACGCAGTAATATCATTTATTGCTATAAACAGATGGAATGGATACAACAATCTCATTTTTTAACAGAGTAAGAAAAAGAATCCCATACTTTAAAATAAAACCGAGCAACAAATAGAGAATGTTGATTTAGGGTTAGGGTACAAAACCTTTTCTTAATGACTAGAAGAATATTCACTCCTTATAAGCTAATCATATCTGACAAATATCCTCCTTTGTGCATTGTAAGACCAAAGAAATAGAAGACAATGCAGAAACAAAGAGAACTTTCAACTTAGTTTTATCATAAAATAACAGAATAAACTATTCTCGTTCTAAATTTTCTGTGATAGCTTAGAATTATGAATGTTTCGTTTTTAATTATACTCGTTAGTAGTAATAGTAGTAATAATGGTTGCTTTATTCCAAACAATATATATGATACAGTATGGAATTTTCAGCATGGAATATTCCAATAAATTCTCTTTCCGTACAATACTTTTAAAAGAAATAATTATTACATAGTGTTAATAGTGTTAATAATAACAACAATATTCAATGCATAAGTGTGAAACGGTGAGCTAGTGTTATATTAGTATCTGTTCTTGTTTCAGAAATTAACACAAATTCAAGTGTAACTTTGATGGTGACAGTTCAGTCAGCCAGTCAGTCAGTTAGTCAATCAATCAGCACAGAAATTCACTACCCCATAAAGATATCCTAGGAATAGTAATGCGGTATATTTTTGAGCATTTACAAACCCATTTTCAAGTGGCAAAATATTTTTCCTTTGTTTTGTTCTTAGCTTGAGAAACAAAATTTCGAAAATATTTTAAAAACGTGTCAGAGTAAACGATGAGTTCAGAAGACACTTAGAAGATTAAAACAAACTGAAAGGGAAGAATCTAACGGAATATAATTTGTGGAAAATTTTTTGGTAACCCAAGATTTAAACAGACCACCTCTTACATTTCCTACATTGATAGCTGATTTCACAAAAATTTATTTCATTTTCGCATGAAACATTTTAATAAGTATATCACCAGACTATTCAGTTTATTGGAGTTACACCTTGTATGCTTCAGAAAAGTTTTTTGCTTTATTGTGCTAATATTGGTTTATGAAACAAACTAAATTATATTCCAAGTTGTTATTCATCGAGGACTGACATCAGTTGGAGGAACAAAGGAAACCTGGGAGCACTGGACAGCCGTTTCGTCCTAGTATGGGACTCCTCAGCAGTGCGCACCCACGACCCCACCAGCAGGGATCGAACCCGCGACCTTCAGGTTCCGCGACCAGCGTGTTACCATTGAGCCACTGGGTCAGGATCCAATGCTCCATATTTCCAACTTCTGAAACAGCTGTCCAGTGCTCCTAGAATTCCTTTGTTCCTCCAACTGATGTCAGCCTTCGATGAATAACAACTTGAAATATTTCCAAATCTCCACAACCCCCTCAAAATTTAATTAAATTATATTCGATTAAGGGATGTGTTATACCAACGATGACAAAAACAGGCAAAACATTTTGGATTCAGGATTTCAGCACAACAACGATGCATTCAAGAACTTTATATGGATGGGGAAAGTGCAGATTAACAAAACTTTAGCAAAAATTCAGCTGACTTCTCAAACTTGGATATGTTGAACAGAAAACGAACTTTTTATTATTTTAATCAGTAATTATCCCAGCAACATCGATTTATCATTTGACTGTCTGAGATACCTGTAGTTTGACAGACCAGCATTTATACTGGGTGATGATTTAAGGTGAAATGAAAATTTGGATCATGGTTCAGCTGATAGATCATCGGGTCGGAAACCCGATGGTCGTTGGTTCGAATCCGGCAGTGGTCTAAATTTTTATTTCACCATCAATCATCGCACAGTATAAATACTAGTCTACCAGACTACGGCTATCTCAGATAGTCAAATGACAAACAATATGATGCTCCCATTGTCTAATTTAAGTAGATTTGAATTGGGATGAGAAGTCCCAACTAGCCAGCCAGTGTGAATACGATCAAACGGTAGTAACGTGTCACGAATTCATATGGTAGTCGGGTAAAACCCTTGGTGACTGAAATGAAATAAAAACGTGGTCAGCAGTCGGACCTCGTAGGTTAGTTGGTACAACGTCGAACCGGAAACACAGTGGTCGCTGGTTCGAATCCGGCGGCGGTACAAATTTTCATTTCACCTTCAATCATCACCCAGTATAAATATTGGTTTACACAATATTTCTATGAACAATTAATAACTGTTTGTCAGTGGGCAGAAAGTAGGATTTTTATCATTTAAAAAGCAAGTTTCACTTCATAAGGTATAGTTTCCATCATCTTAATGTAATCAACATATTAACGTTGTCAGGATAGATACTCTTCACAAACTGACAATTAGACGTAAATTTATTTTAACAATCAGAGATTATTTTATTTCCAAATAAAATTCGATATGGAATACTAACAGTCCTTAGTTTACTATCACTAACTAGCTTCTGAAAGAAATCAAAGATAAATTTAGCACCTTTCATCTCCATTAATGAAATATTTTATGACTCAGATTGTAAACACTAGAAACTAACTCTTCATTTGAATTTTGATGCTTTGAACCTTTTCAAGTAGTTGTCCACTTCAAGATAACTTGAACAATTCGCCTGTTAATGTTGAATCAATCATGATACACTAATCAGGTTAATGTTAGTTGAACAAAATAACAGTTCAGTGTTAATATCACCATTTAAATTGATGCAATCCACTACAAATAATTTTATCACTTATGTATAAGTTATATTTGGACAAATTTCAGCATGTTTCAGATAAGAAATTCTAACGTTTTCCATGGAAGTATGGTCCGAGCTTCTTCAGAGAAACAGTCGAAATCGTGAATAGATTGTTGTGATGAATGAACAGTGAGACGAACTATACGAATTTTGACCTGTTATACATATATGATAATGTAGATCTTGATCTTGACCAGATATTAGTGTTGAAATCCCGGATATTGTTCACGCTTTATGCTGAGTGCAGTGCAGTGCAGTAGATCTTCAAACTGACCATTTCAGACTAATGAAGGAAAGCCTGTCTTGTTGTCTTTCCGATCCTGACTGGCTTTGATTTCGTCATGTGTGGCTGTGCTGCCTGTAGTTGAGACGATGCTGTCTAGTTAGGTAGGTGAAAGAGACGACTTCGTTTAGATTTCTCCTGTTGGTGGTGATTGGTGCTTGCTGTTGTTGTTGGTTGGACATCTTCATCGTCTCTGTCTTCTCTACGTTCATCTGATGGAAGTCCCATCTTCCTTTCTTGTCCCTCGTCTTCTGTTAATTTGTTAGTTTTCGCCTGTAGGTTTTCGGGTTTGTGCGACAAGACACTAGACATAAATCATCATCGGTCAAACAGCGTATACCCATCTTCTCACTCCACACAGTTGTATGTTGCATGAATTAGTCCAGTCTAGTCGATCACAATCAGGAAGATGATCGGTGGTAGTAATCGGCAACCTTATCTTACTCCTATCTTCACTTCGAAGGCATTGCTGAACTTTCCATTGTGAATTGAATCATACTTACATGCAAAACGTTGGAATTTCTTGTTTGAAACATGCTGAAATTTGTCCAAATATAACTTATATCTGATCTGAACTTTTCACTCAGCGCCCAATATATTTATGAAACTACCCGGTCAAATTTTGACCAGGGTTTATATGAATTTTATCACTTGTCCGTACCACACTTCTCCATTCTAAAATTCTAAAGCTATATATTTATAAAATCATACCTTAATTTTAGAATGTAATGTCAGCGGGTTGGTGATTTCACTTTGTTGTTTACGTCTCCATATATCTGGTCCAACAAGTTCGATAAATTTATTCGTTAAATGACGTCGTACAAGGGATTTTACAGGTGAGATTTGGAGAATATCAGCCAAAAGATCTGGTGTGAAGCGATCCTCTAAAATCTAAATGAAAAGATGCAAGTAACTTAGACAAAAATATGTAAATAACAAAATATTACTGTATGCTTATTTCCAAAGCCTATGAAGGTTATACTATCGGAAGGAGGGTGAATGAACGCCTAGATCGAAATAAGAAGTCTTTTATCATCTTGGTTTGAATAACAGATACAATAATAATTATTCAGAGTGCAGACTGGTTGCTACTCAACTAATGCTGATCAACGCTGACAAGCATACGGTATAGATCCAGAACATTTGGTTAACCAGTTTCAAAAAAGCACGTTTAGGTAGAACAAAACTTTAGTAACAACCAATCACGTTCAAGTGTGCACTGACCAATCAGAAATAAGACTGTGAAGGACAACTCAGTTATTAAGAAAAAGGCTACTTAATTTACAACTTATAAATTTGTTTTAGTTGGCAAATGGAGACATCTAGATTTTCAATAGGTTTTTCATCTTTGAAACGATACCACTGTCTGTCTGCCGGTCATTCATATAAGACCATAAAATATTCCTTAGTGATATCTTTAATAGTTTTAAGAAGTTCCTAAGAGGACTCCGTATATTTTCAAAGTTATTTGTGTACATTCCAGTTGTTCGACCATTTAAATGCTTCTTGTGAACAAAAGCTTGATAGGAGCAATTCATTTCAGATAGAGGTACACACAACTTTCAAGCATCCGTGTATACTGTGGTATCCAATGCTACATATTTTTCTATAACTGTTAGGATAGATTTTTCTGAACTATCCTTTATCCACTGAAAATATCTTCTCATCGCATTTCCGGTGTATGTGGTTTGGTAAGACATGTGTATTTAACTTATCTAGTCCTGTTTAAGTTGTCTCCATAGGTTATATTTACATTTCCGAACAATACACCTATCTGTTTCACTTATACACTTATTAGCTACTCCACCAAAATTCACCTGCAACCTGAAACGTAATCTTTTCTATAATTCATAAATTTCTTCTGCATCAGTAGCACAGTAAAATGACACTGAACAAAGCATTTCCAAACAGATTGATTGTCTTCAAGGTTTTCCGTCACTAAAGTTTAGTTCCGCGCATGTTTACATTAAATTTTATCAACAATAGGTTAATACCTGAGAAAAGTGATATTTGAACAAATGTAGAGATATAGTCTTACTTATATACAAGAATATTGACACAGCTATCGAAGAGAAAAAAGACAACACCAACGAACTTTGTATTCAATAATGATGTTCATAAACGAAGTACAGGTAAGGCTTGTATGATGACATGTATAAGATAAAAAGCAGACGACAGACAAACTATTCCCATATCAGATGAATGAAATGATTAGAACTCACTGACCACCAGTCCATCTGACATCTCTTTATCCTTTCTAACATCCAAACACCAAAATCCAATGCATTACAGCGTTATGTCACAGTCTAATGATCAAATATCGCAAATTGCTCAAGTAGACTTCGATCAATATTATGGATAAAAAAGGTTTATTGATAAATTCGTGTACCGGTGAATAACTGACCACAGAAAGTTTAAGAAGTTATTATTTATTTATCTATTATTTTTGAGATGAATGTGGATTTTTAATTTAGAAGTAGTATTCATCATGGACTGACATCAGTTGGGGAACCATTGAAAATCTGGGAGCATTGGACAGCTGTTTCGTCCTAGTATGGGACTCCTCAGCAGTACGCACCCACGACCCGGCTGGAGGACGAACTCAGGACCTTCAGGTTTCACGGCGAATGCGTTAACCATTCAGCCACTGGGTCGGTTTCCAGTGGTTCACAATTTCCAACTTCTGTCAATTCACAACATAGCGTGACTGTCAACCAAGGTCTTCAGTTAGCACCCACTTCACTTCCGACTGGTTGACCCCACAGGTCACGGCTTCTCATTAGAACTTGCTGACATCCATCTGGAAGCAAGTCACTAATGAGCACTATAGAGTAATGTATTTCTTTAATTATTTATTTGTTGGATTAATTTGCTTTTGTGATAGTTTTATTCGCACTATGCAGATTGCTTTCAACATGCACATTATTCAAATTTATTTTAACCAACACTAATTATTCTGTTGTGCCATCATTTGCTAAGATATGTGGCATAGTGAAATTCATTTCAGTATGTTGCTCACAAGCATCGAGAATGTCACATCATTACTTAATTCTGTTAGTAGTTATGTGTCTCCATTACTGTTTATTTAGATATTATTTCTCCTTAACTGATTTCATTCCAATCGAGAAAGATTTGGAGAATTAAAGAAAGCTTTTAGTTTACAGCCGATGACTTATGTCTAATGTCACACAAACTTGAAGATCTACGGGAGAAAACTAACAAGTTGGCAGAAGAAGCAGTCAAGACGGGACTTTAAGTGAGTGTAGAGAAGACAAAGGTGATGAAGATACCCAACCAACAACAACAACAAGGAAGTAGCCTCTTTCACCTGTCTAGGCAGCACTGTTTCAGCTACAGGTGGCAGTGCAGACAAGGACATCAAAGTCAGGATCGGAAAAGCAAGACAGGCGTTCATTAGCCTGAAACCAGTGTGGAGATCTTCTGCACTCAGCATGTGGAACAAGATCCGGATTTTCAACACCAACCCAGTCAATTCAGTGCTGCAACATGGCTCAGAAACTTGGCGCGTTACGAAAGGGATTTCCAACAAACTACAGACATTCATCAACAACTGCCGCCTACGCTTGTTACTGAAGATCAGATGGCCAGAATAGTCAGAATAAGCAACAAGGAACTCTGCTTGGGAACGAACCAACCAAGAAGCTATCGCTCAACAAATATGCAGTTGGAGGGAGTGGAGATGGATTGGGCATACACTGAGAAGGCCGACTGGGGACACCACGCACCAGGCCAGATGGGAAGCGACGAGTTGGGCGTCTGAGCGAGGGTGACATGGAGGAGATCGTGCGAGGAAGAAATGAGAGGTTCTGGGCTGTCGTGGAACCAGGTTCAAAAGTTTGCAGAGAACAGAGTGGAATGGAGACGTGTTACTGAAGCTCTATGTTCCATTAGGAACCCAAGAGACAAATAAATAAATTTAGTTTACAGCTTATCTCACAAATATAGGTAGCCTCAAATATTCAGTGCATTATTATCGAATGAAAGTGAAAGTATATTTAGGTCAGACTTAAAGAAGAACAAGAGATGATGCCTCAAACGAAAATAATTTTCTCACCAATAACAAATGAATGTAATGTGGACGTACATTTGCTTGAAAATAAAGTAGCATAAGTGTACGAAGACTAGACAAAACAACTAAAGTGAAACATACAGAAACAATAGAAGCGGTTAATGATAGATAGTGGCTAGCAGTAGGATCCACGATACGCATTTCGCCCTGTTCCAGACTCGTCAGTTAGATGTACCTGCCTCCCACTTAGCCACCTTGTTCTCACTAGGACTTGAGTTCAAGACAAATTGCCTCAAACGTCAAAGCTTTATCCACTAGACCATCGAGTCACGATACCCACTTCGTTTGCGACGGCTATAGTTTTGATATTTTCGCTTGTATTGTCCCGTCGTTGAGTGGACCGAATTGATCGGTCTCTATTGGGATATAGGCTTCTGCGTGGATGCCTCGATATTGTTTAAACGCTCATCCTGGATTCCACTACTAGCCACTATCCATCATAAATATATAACTCATAAAGGTAATATCGAACTATCCACGTAGGAGCCCATATGTTAATACAGACCGATCAGTTCGGTTCACTAAACAACGGGAAAACGCAAGAGAAAACATTAACAGAAGTGGTTGTTGGTGCTATATATGTGGCAAGTAAGTGTATGAAAACTAATCTTATATCTCAGGACGTTAGATCTCATTAATCGTATTCGGAGGCTATGCAAATCACCATTCAGATCATGTTAATCACTTAAATCCAATCTTCGATTACTCTTTATTTGGATTTTTAGAGATGAAATGGTCGTGAGACTATTCATTTCATCCAAGTAACAAATTTAAATTAGGAATTACTGCAAAAGTGTTTCATTGATTCGGCGATAGAAGTAATTCTCAGAAAAATAAAGACTGAAGAACAAACAAGACTATTTCAGAGTTTTCATTTTCAGGTGGTACTCCACGCGGTTTCTTTGTAAGCATATCAGAACTTTTGTTTTGAAGTTCTCATGAATGTATCAGTTTTTCCTGTTATAAACCAACTAATGAATACCGGTAATTTTTTTAGAAAATAGACTTAACAACTGTGGAACTATAACAGCTGCGATTCAGTGATTTCAACCCACGATAACAATGAGTATCAGGCAAGAGAACTGCTCTTTCTGTGTTACAGTAAAAGCAGTCGAGTAGTCACTGGTTCCATCACAATAATTGTGGTTCGCTATTTTGTAAACAGATATGCGTGCAGATTCTTACATGCATAATTACAGCATGAAACAAATCAAATCAAGAACTTTCAACATTTCTTTTTATGTCACTTTACAGTGATATGAAACAGCATTTTTACAGTGTTGTTAACAGCTAAATGTTTGACGAAAATTCGAAAGAAATGAACAAAAGAAGATGGGGAAATATCCCAATGCTGGGAGGTTTTATGACTTCACCAACAGACTAACCTCTAGGTTCGGATGGCAGTATTATTACTATACTACTTGTCCATTGGGTTTCTGGTGGGAAATAGAGCTTCAGGAAAAAGGTTTGTGGCATTCCGTCGTGTTGAAGCAGGTACCGGCCAAATTACTTCTCGGTCGACGTTGTCGAAGGCCTTCTCAAAGTCGATAAAGTTGAGGTAAAAAGTTGACTGCCATTCTATTCTCTGTTTTATGATGATGTATAGCACAGTTTTACAACTTGATTCTCACATGATTTGTTTTTACTGAAGCCAGATAGCCAGCCTCTTCCGGTCGTAATTTTGAATGCAGAGGATATTTTAGTCTCTCCAGGATGATGTGGCTTAGTATTTTGCTTGGTGCGGATAGGAGCATGATTCCGTGCCAGTTATTGTTCTTGTAAAGACTTAGGTCTCCCTTCTTTGCAAGTTTGACAAGGTAGCCCTTCTTCCAATCAAGAGGCAGGTACCTTTCCTTCCTTCCTTCCCTCCAAACCTTCTGCAATTGTGGTGTGGTGTGAGCATGTCTGCTGATGTCTTTGTGTCTGTTTCCATTGCTTGTGGAGGAATTCCATCTGGTCCTGCTGCTTTCCTAGATTTCAGCAACTTTATGGCGTTCAGGACTTCACTTCTACTTTTGTCGGATGGTTTTTGTTCACTGATACTTCTGTGGCTGGGTTGCTTGTGGTATTTCTGGACGAGTTGTAAGTGGTGGTGGTGGTGTTTGATTCAATAGTTCGCTGGAGTGGTTAGCCCATCGTTTCCCTGTCTTTTGTTTCTCCTAAGTTTCCTTCACTATCTTTCATTGCTTTCACCTGCTCTGATCACTTTCCAAATATTGACCTGCTTATCTGATAGTGTTGTTAGGTCTCTGTCTCTCCTGCCTGCAGCCTGTTCTCCTTCACTTGCAAATGTGTTGTAGAAGTGTCTTTTGTTTTTCCACACACTTTTCTTCACATTTTTGTCCAGTGATTTATAGGTTGTATTCAGTTCGTCTTTTCGTTGTTCATCCACGCACTGCACTGGTTCATCTTCTGCTTCACCAACAGAAGCTTTACCACATATATCAGCTTCCATGTGTCCATAGAGATCCATTCCTTGTCTTGTTTCTTCTTCCTTCCTAACACGGTTAGGTAGGTTTCCTCCCATGTTGCTTTAACAGAGTTCCAGTATTCTTCCACGCAGGTTTCCTAGAGGATGTGGCTTAATGTCTTCCATCTTTTCCTGATTACTGACTTAGAGATGTCATCCTTGGATAGCACACCAAGAAATGAAACCATCTACTGATCGACGCCTTCATAACACCAAAATCTAGTTGTTCAAGACCCTGAACACACGAAGCTAAATATAATCATCTTTTATTACCATTTTATGGGTCTCAGTTAAATAGAAGCAATCGATAGGAGGCTCTGGACCTAGGTTTCGTGCTTGTTGGCAGTCGTCAGCAAGGCGTATCTGCAACCTCGACGGAACTGATGCCTCACTTGAGATTCGAACTCGTATCACCCAGTGCTGAGTCACAGACGTTAACACTGAGCTATTCGGGAAGCGATTGTCCTCCTGTAGAACTGGACTAGGTACATTGATTGGTCACTGAAAGGCAACCAACTTCATGTTGTCTAGTCCTAGGAGGAGATTGAATTTTATCAATTATTTTCCTATGTGACCATCAAGTTAGGTGAACACCTTACTACTCCTTTTCGTGAACTTATTTTGTAACAGTTCAAATGCTTTCGTTGATTTAGTATAGGTGTGAGATTTTATCCATTGTCATAAGAAGGTGGTTAGACAGCAGTTCGTTGTGCAAATTTATCTTTGCTTGTGACTTGAATTAGACTAAATGGTCTCGTTTTGCTTGGATTTTCATGTAACAACAGAACTGAGCTACAAACGGTATGTCCAGGTGCTCTGCATTTTTTCAAGCGCACGGAGCGATCTTTTCACCAAATTAGTTGCTGACAGTGTTCAAAGAGAGAAATGACAGGAATACACATAAAGTAAAAGTCGCCTAGCCTGATGATGAAACGTTCAAGAACTATCTTCAAGGTTAGGAGAATATCCTGACTTCGTGTTACCTTGAGAGACTTCCCTATGAAAACATAAACTTTCAAGAGTGTCTGGAGATTAAGAAAGAATAGGTCAGAGACAGAATCTCAATATATACTCATTTACAAAATATGATGAATCTTTCGAATATAAAAACTTACCATCAAAGCACCATGTACACCACTTCCAAATAACTTTGGAGCATATTCAGGCAATTCGATACTCTGTAACCAGTCCAATACTCTTTGGTGTGTCCAGTAACAGATTTGTATAGGTAAGTAAGTAGAAAAGAATACTTCTGTATCAGGATTAATTGAATTAGGTCTTGACGAGTTAAATCGAGGAATATCAGAATCAACTGTACAATAATTAACCATTTCATTATATCCATTAGTAGATTTTATAACATCTTGAGTAGAACTGAATGATGGGAGCATAGAATGCATTAAATTCCTATTGACAGGTATATTTGCTTCACCTGTATGCATAAAAAGTTTTTAAGAAGAATTTCATATGAAAACATGTCTCATCAATGTAAGAGTAAAACTTGGACATTATGACAGAGTATAATTTCGAGCAGAAATGTTATCCAGTAAATAATACTGCATCACTGTGTACCATTTCAAATAAAAACTTCAATATGGAACGTGTAAGCTGAGTTCTTGAATGTAACCATGTTAATATTCAAAATAGAGAACTCGCTAGATGATAACCACTGTGAACTTTAAAGAATAGTTTGTTTTATAAATTCATCTGTTTATAATTAAGTTTTAACAATTGAAAAAAATCTTGCTCAAACCCTGAAAAGCCTATAAAAATGCTTACAATCATCAGGCAATAAATATACTTCACCTAACAACCAGGGAAAGGTAAGTGATTCAAATAGAAGTTAAACCTAAACCAGGCGTGTATTCAATCAATGGAGTGCACATAAAGACATAAAGCTAACAGAAGTTGGAAATATGGACCATTGGATTGTAACCCGGTGGCTCAATGGTAACGCGTTGGCTGCGGAACCTGAAGGTAGTGAGTTCGATCCCTGTCGGCGTCGTGGGTGCGCACCGCTGAGGGGTCTCATACTAGGACAAAACAGCTGTCCAGTGCTCCCAGGTTTTCTTTGTTCCTCCAACTGATGTCAGTCTTCGATGAATAACAACTTGAAAAAAAATAGAACTATTTTAAGAGAAAATTTGAAAATAACAAACAAGTAGATGTAAGAGTCACTACGTTATATGCGGCTCCCAAACATCGGTTTTAACAATGTAATAGATGTCAGTCATTAAACATATGGTTCGATGAACTGTTATGGTTGACATTTGGTGATCTGACTGAATAACTTCTGTTATTCCTTTCATTGAATTAAAATTTCTTCAACAAGAATCATGGAATGTAGTAATAAATTCATGCTACAATAACCATATGCAGAGTACAATCAAAGCAAAGTAACGCAAATGTCTGATTCATGATCAGCTGTTGAAAACGATATTCAGCTAGCTAATTAAAGCTCTTTAAATCGTCGAATCAATTACTCAAAATAACAATCACATTATACTTACTACTAAGGAAAGTTTACATGATACTTTGCAACAGAAATTTCCCCTTTTAAAATGTATATAAAAATAACACAGAAATAGTAGAGATTTAGACCTGTGAATGAGGATGTTAGTTGTTTGATATTCTCTAAGCTATGAAGCTATTTCTTGAACGTTTCATAATCAGGCTATGCAGTTTTATTAGCATTTATCAGCATTCATATACAAATGAAGCCTTTTTAATTTGTATGGTTTAAAAACAATGTTTATCGGTCTTGAGCACTGTTGACTTATGAGAGGGAGTGAATACGCATTCTATTTAATCATAGGTTGACCTTTATAATTGTTGCTATATTCTAATCCAGGTTGTGACATAATATTTGATTACTGATTTGGTTTTTGGTTTTCCTTATGGTTGATCCTTACTTAGTAGACGACATATTGAGTCAATGTCCGCGTGTCTGTACATTGCCACCTGATTAGAGTAATATACTTTTAGGAACTCTATTGTAAATTTCCAACCAGCTTGCCGTCATATTCCCATTTGTACTAATCTAAGTTTCAATTATGTGCATCGATATCAATGAGGATATATCAAGTCGTTTGACTGCAAGTTGATGCTCATAAATTCTTTTGCTTATTTGTCGGTTGGATTGACCAAAATAGTAGTTTCGATTGTAAGTAATCTCGTAGATTATATCCATCTTGTATTCTTTGAGTACTAAATACTTTAGTTTACATAATATGTTCTGTAGAAATTTGACCGATTTGTGGGCGACGTTGATATAAAATGGATGAAGTAGTTGGTCGATAGTTTCTCAGACACCTTTGATATATAGTAAAGAGATTCATTTTATAGTTAGAGGTAATTGTCGTGATGTATGTTCTGTTGACAGGTACTTCCTGGTGAAGTTGACTGAATAGTCATTGGTTGTGAACACTTGGCAGAGGTGATTTTCTTCTAACTTCGGTAGTTGCTGATTGCTGGAACGAGTCTTGGAAAGCAGGGATAGTGTGAGAGGTTAAGTTGTTACTATTGCCATCCAAAACTTGGTGTGCGTGGCACCTTCCAGTACATTTGTGTCTAGAAGGTTCAAACCAATCACAGACCGCTTCGTCAAGGCAAGCTACGAAATCACTCACGGAGAAACTTCATAGTGAAGTAAGTGCTGGTGATGTCGCCTAGAAGGATGATGAAAGCTTCACGATTAAACAACCCAGCTCAAAGAACACAATAAAACCAAAGTTCCATTATGCATTCTTCTAATAAGCATATCCGGGAACGGGATTTCGTTATTTTCTTCTTCTTCTTTTGTGAATTAAATATCTTCAAAGGCTTGACTGGTGAACGTGTTTTCCAGCACATTTGTTCTGAGAATTAGAAAGTGTCGTTAACGTATCCAACCCAAATTTTCAATTTGATTATTGGAATGAATATTGATTCTAATCTCTGCATTGTTGCTTAAGTTATCAGTCGGGATACTGGTGAGCCCATGGCAGTTTCTTTGGTTTGTTTGCTAATCCTTCCGTTGAAGTGAAAGTATGTCCTAAAAATAGGTCGATTAATTCTATCGGGTTTGTAGCAGTAACTTTTGTATGATATTGTCATTGTTTAAATGAACACTTGTTCTTTCTTTGGTAAAATCCAGGTTGATTGACGTGAAACGTGCAGTTACATCAGAGAGCAGCATATTTTCGTCGACATCTATCTTCACATCTTAAAATCCTCCCCAGGAATTGAGTTACTGAACTGAGTGAGTGTTTACTTTCATCAATATACTTCTCGGGATAAACTGAATGGCTACAATGGAATATCTGCCTTGTGTACTTTTAGTCAACCGTAAAATCTAGGTAGGAGTAAACTGTTTGTTTTATCCGGCACTGCTCGTGTCACTATTTGACCCGTCTTGACTAAATCGTCGAACTTTCCTTCTATTTAGTTATTCAATTGTTTGGTAGGATTCTTGTCTATCACTTTGATTAGTGCTCTTGACACTGAGTACTTCTTGTGCTTTCCCACGTAAATCACTTTGTTCATGATGACGGTTAACCTTCCTTTTTTGTTGGTAGTAACTCAAATTTTCGGTTGATATGAATGACTTCGGTGTTTTCTTTTCTTCTGTTTTGAGTTGTTATTTGTTTTCTTGGGTTTTCACCAACAGTATGACCAATTGTGATAGTTCTTATTGTCTTTCTGCTGTTCTTCTTGTAGTTCTGAGTGAAGTTTCAAAGGTTGCACAGAAATCCAGCACATTCGCAATCTCCGTATTGTAGTTTAATCCTTCTGGGAGTAAATTGTATTCTGTACAGAATAGACTTCTTTCTGAAAAGTTCACTATCCATTCCTATTCTGTTTATTTTCGGCTGATTTGAACAGCTTTAGTAATTTATTTCCCAGTTTTTCTTCTCTTTTCTTCGTTTTAATTTTAGTTTTTATATTTATGGTAGTGATTAGTTGATTCATCATCTCTGTTCCTAGGATCGATTCCAGTATTTGCTGTTGTGTAATGACTATGTTACTATGTTTCTTGAATCCCTTGTATATATCTAATATAATCAAAGGAACCATTTTTCTTCCCTTTGGTTCAACAATTATCCGTCCAGTGATAGAATTGAAAGATGGTTCATATTTCACATTTCATGACAAGATACATTTTCGTAGGTAGGCTCAGATCATTGCATATACAAATATTAGATTAGGTTATCAAACATACAAACAGACTTGGGACAAAAATATAAAGTAGTAAAGATAAAACTAAAAAGAATGCGAAAACCAGTGTTAAATTTTGCTTACATTGTTGCATATGATCCCGACATAAACGATTTCTATCGAATTTGATATGCCTTAACATTTGTAATCCCCAACGTAAACTCAATACATGCAATTCATTCGACATTTTCAACACGAATAAATCATCCTAAAACACACAAGTAAAAGGAAGTTATTTGATGTATGCTCAAAAACTAGCTAAAAATAAACACTTAAAACCAAAGTTCATAAAAGATGGATATTGTTTTAATTTTGTATACCTACCCATGAACTTACACGAGATGACGTATAGGATATTCACAGACAGTAATCAGTATGTTATTATTCAGATAGAGAGTTTGAAAAACCATTTGTTAACGCCCTCAAAATTGATTTACTTCAAAACGTATCACATATTCATCAGAAGGTTCAAACCATACAACAGATACTTCATTAAACTCAACAACTTAATACAAGTTTATCTAATCGGCATTGAGTCACAACTAGTGAATGACGACTTACAAACCAACTAGTTCTCAGATCCCAGTATGTTGGGACAGATTTTAATCTGGAACTCGAAATTCTAATCCAGTAACCATTAAGCCATATTATCGCAGTAATAGGAAAAGAAGAACAGATGAAAAAAGTAAATGGCATAAACCAATCTATATACGTACCATAGTGAGTTGATCTAGCATATATGGATCAACGATACAACTGTCAAATTGTGGAATGTAATGTGACAGACCCATGTCATGTAACCAACCTATACAAAAAAGAGAATAAAAAAAGGAGATACTAGAATTTACCGAATACGGATCTCCCTTTATCATTACTAAAGTTCAGTATTATAATGACAATAATAAAAGAACTTCTGGTATGGTAGTAAATATTCATAGCTCATAAGAATGGCTACTCAGGTAGATCTACCAATACCTAAAGCTGAGCTTTCTTAAGTGAGACTACTGATATTAGCATACATATCATCTTTGATACCAATCCATAAACCGTTGCACTGGCTTGTTGTCAGTGTTACTAAACTTGGCTTTTAGACAAACCATGAAAGTGAATGACAATTACAGAGCTTTACTTTTACTATCAGTAAATAGTGCTTGTGTATGAAATCTTCAATTACATTACCGGCTCACTACTTACTGATACACAATCTCCTTTTCATACTATCCAGGAATACATAGTCACTTGTAGGAAAGTAGACTGATCTCGTTACATTAAGTTTTTAAATTGACCACAGAATGAGCCGACCTAATCCATTTCTTCATCGGAGAGTTTTACTTCTAACTCCAAGCAAATATATGCAATCTACTTAACGAAATCTATGAGGATCAACACTACTTACACCTATATTACTGATGGACGGTGTCTAGTAGTGGAACCGAAGATGTGTGTTTCGTTCTATTCCAAACTCGTCGGATGGATATACCTGCCTCCCAGTTAGCGATGTTGTTCTCACTAGGATTGGAATTTGGAACCGATCACGTCAAACTCCAAAGCGTTATCCACTAGACCATCGAGTCACGGTGGCTACTTCTTGAGCAACGCGTATAGTTTTGATGTTGTTGCTTGTATTATCCCGTCGTTGAGTGGACCGAACTGATTGATCTCGATTGGCATATTGGCTAGTGCGCAGATGCCTTGATAAGAATGGTGGTAGAGTGCTCTTAGTCAGGTTAACGGAAGTGTCAGCCAGTATATGGGAATCAAATACGATCCCCTCCGACTGGTCTAAGTCACTCATCATCCCAGTCTTCAAGAAAGGCGAGAAGTCCTCTTGTGATAACCACAGAGGAATCAGCCTGACGAACATAGTGTCTAAGATCCTAAGTTCTATAATTCTCCGACGCCTGAGTGGAGCTCGGGAACAGCAAGCCCGAGAAAACCAGGCAGGCTTTAGACCTGGCCGTGGATGTATCGACCAAATATTCACACTGCGCCAGGTCCTGGAACATAGGCATGCTTACAGACGCCCGACAATAGCTGTATTTCTCGACCTGAAGGCGGCATTTGACTCCGTTGATCGAGAAGTCTTATGGCAATGTCTGTCACTGAAAGGCGTGCCTAGTAAGTACATCACCTTATTGAAAGCTCTCTACTCGAACACTTGTGGGCATGTTAGAGCCTATGGTGAGTTGTCCAGGGAGCTATACTCATCAAGTGGTGTCCGTCAAGGATGCCCACTATCCCCATTCTTATTTAATTTTATCATAGATATTCTTATGGAGGTTTCCCTCTCGTCACCTAATTACAAGACGTTGACCCAATCACAGGTGAATTTTCTTTAGATCTAGAATATGCAGATGACATAGTCCTGTTAGGTGAAGACGCTGACAAGATGCAGAGTCTTCTGAACACTTTGAGTGGGAATTTGAGAATGTTTGGGATGCGATTTTCACCACCCAAATGCAAATTTTTGCTCCAGGACTGGTCTTCAGCGGTACCGCGGTTAACAATAGAGAGTGAAGTGGTTGAGTGTGTTGACCACTTCACTTACCTGGGAAGTAGGATCAACCCGGTGGGTTAGTTGCCGATGAGATTTCTGCACGGATACAAAAGGCTCGATTGGCTTTTGCCAATTTGCGCCACCTATGGCGCCGCCGTGATATTCGTTTGTCTATTAAGGGTCGCGTGTACTGCACAGCAGTCCGCTCTGTTCTACTGTATGGCTGTGAAACATGGCCATTGAAAGTGGAGGATACAAAAAGGCTTCAGGTGTTTGACCACCGTTGCCTTCGTAGTATAGGACGTATTCCGTGGTGTCACCATGTGAGTAATGCAGAAGTTAGGTGTAGAGTTTTAGGGAGAAGAGGTAAGTCAGTTGACGAGGTTGTGAACCTTCATCGACTGAGATGGTTGGGACACGTACTACGTATGCCTAGTCACCGATTGCCTCGTCACACAATGTTGGCTGAGGTGGGTCCAGGCTGGAAAAAGGCCCGAGGTGGCCAGACTAAAACATGGCACCAATGTATGAAGTCTCTGACTGTTGGTTTAAGCCATGTAGGACGATGCAGACTAGGTGGTTGGGGTCCACGGGACAAGAGGAACCAGTGGTTGGAGACCCTAGGTGATATGGCTCAGAACCGAAGTCAGTGGCGCAGATGTATACACACATTATCCTCATCTTAACAACGCTATACCGAATCTCACTATTTTGTCACTCCTCTTTCCTTTCTTCTCGTACTTTATATTTCTTTTGACTGCATTGACTTCATTCACTTATCTTCATCCTTCACCTCACTACCTTTTTACTTGATGTGCTGATATGAGGTGTGGCAACTCGGACCGTTACGCAGTAATGCCTGGTCCTATGTTGATAATGATGATGATGAGATGCCTTGATATCACCTGTGTTTGAATAATATATTAATGATGAATAGTGGCTAGCAGTGGAATCCAGGAAGCACGTCTATGGATAATACAAGCAGCAACATTAAAACTATACGAGTTGCACAAGAAGCAGCCATCCTGGCTCATTGGTCTAGTGGATGACATTCTGGCGTTTGAGGTGACCAGTCTTGAGTTCGAGTCCCGGAGGAGACAACATCGGTCACTGAGAGACAGATACATCTAGCTGAAGAGTCCCAAATAGGATGAAACGCGCGTCAAACTGGATTCCATTGCTCACCACTATCCATCGTTAATGTATTATTCAAATGCATATAATATCGAGGCACCCAAGCAGGAGCCCATATGCCAATAGAGACTGATCAATTCGGTCCACTCAACGACGAGATCATACAGGCAACAACATTGAAAAAGACCTGATTATATAGCTCTAATTATAAGTTTATAGTAATAATAATAATAATTCATGAAACTCTTGAACAATGAAGATTGTACATAAAGGAGTATGTATCTTGATACAAGTGACATAATTTTTAAATTTACGGCTTTAGGTTGTAACTCATAAACTGTTTACAGTTTCACGCATAAGCTTAGAATATCCCCTAAAGGAGGAAGATCATAGATTTAGTATATTAGCAATTAAAATGTCTGACTTTAGTATTTCCTTATGCATGTTCGAATACTCTAGGAAAGAAAAATTTACTGTAAATTATATGCAGTTGATCCTGACGAGCTCTAGAAAGCATGAAAAAGGTATTTATAACTGTCTACCCACTTTTATTAAATAATTAATCCCCAAAATACTGAAATAACGAAGAAATATGTGAACGTTTCCACCGTAATAATTTTAAAACGAAGGTATAGGTCGGGTGAAATAAACAAGAGCATTGTTCATTTTAAATTCACTAATTCAAAAAATTCTGTTAAATTTAGGTGTGCATTATTATTTATCCCTTGGGTTCCTAGTGGAACACAGGGATTCAGTAGCACATTCGCATTCAACTCTGTTCTTTGCAGTCTTCAAAACCTGGCCCCACGACTGCCCACAAGCTTCCATTTCTTCTTCACATCATCTCCTCCATGTCACCCTTGCCTCGGATGCCCAACTCGTCGTTTCCCCATTGGATTCCACTCGAGGGCCAGGCCTGACACGTGATGTCCCCAGTTGGCCTTCTCAGTGTATGCCCAATCCATCTCCACTTTTTTCTGCATACTTGTGGGGTGATAGATTCTTGCTTCGTTGGTTCATTCCCAGAGTTCCTTGTTGCTTATTCTTGTTATTCTGGCCATCTGATCTTCAGTATCATATTAGCGTAGGCGGCATCTGTTGATGATGTGTGTCTGTAGTTTGTTGGAAGTGCTTTTCGTGACACGCCAAGTTTCTGAACCATATAACAGCACTGACTTGACTGATTTAGTGTTGAAAATCCTGATCTTTTTCACGCTTTATGCTGAGTTCAGTAGATCTCCACACGGATTTCAGATTAATGAAAACTTGTCTTGCTTTTCCGATCCTGGTTTCGACATCCTCGTCTGTGTCGCCATCTGTAGTTGAAACGATGCTGCCCAGACAGGTAGACGAAAGAGACAACTTTCTTTAGGTTCTTCCCGTTCATGGTGATTGATGCTTCTTGTTGTTGTTGTGCATCTTCACCACTTCTGTCTTCTCTACGTTCACCTGAAGGAAGTCCCGTCCTCGCTGTCTCTTCTGTCAACTTGTTGGTTTTCGCGTGTAAATCTTCGAGTTTGTGAGATATTAGACAGTAATCACCATGGGTGAAATCCGAATCTTCTAGGGTCTTTTCACCCATCAAACAGCGTATGCCCATTTTTTCACTCCTCATGGTTTGCTGCATGATACAGTCCACCACAAGGAAGATCATGGAGGATAGTAGGCTTCCTTGTCTTACTCCTGTCTCTTGTCTTCACTTCATAGGCATCACTCAGTCCTCCATTGTGAATCATTTGGCATGTGGCGTCTTCACATAGTTGTTGAATGAGGTTGATAAAGATGTGTGGCACTAAAAGTGTAGTGTTGAAGCGGCTGCCTGCCAAATTACTTCTCGGTCGACGTTGTCAAACGCCTTCTCAAGGTAGATAAAGTTGAGGTAAAAAGTTGACTGCCATTCTATACTCTGTTCTATGATGATGCGTAGCACAGCTTTGCAATCTGATTCGCCGATGATTTGTTCTTCCTGAAGCCAGACAACCAGCCTGTTCCAATCGTAATTTTAAATCCAGCGCATTGTTTAAGTATGCATACAAGGTCAGAAATAGGAAATAAGATAGGATCTATCATTTCTAATCTGAAACAGTAGAACTATTCACATAAATACTCTTCGAAAATTCATTTCATTTCTCAGTGTAAACCTAGATACAGTAAACCTGATCACATAAGATACCTCATACTGGCCTGAAAAATGCTCATTTTAGCTATTGAACAAAAAAAATTAATCAAAAACTTCCAGCGACTGAAACTTTGATTATCGTAATATGGAATGTAGTACTACTTGCTGCGTCACAGTAGGCAAAGATGTAAAATATCAGTAACTGTTATCTTGTCCACTATCGGTAACTAGTAATCAGCGAGTAATAATTCTTCAGAATATTGAGTTAAAAAGAATGGTAATAGTAGTTATCTTATTCCTTTATTATTATCGAGTAAAAAGGGAAACAGAAGATAACCTACAATAATTACAAATTAATTACCTGTCATGTCAAAGTTATCAGGTGGCTCAATATTTCGATATAAATATCCATAACTATTTGGACATTTGTCTTTAATACGAAGATATATATGAATTGATAATTTCTTCAAATGCAATGGATTACGTATACCCATCAGCTAAAAATAAGTGATAAGAAAGAGAACAATATAAATCGATAAGAGTAAAACGCTGAAAAAAAAATATTATATCACATGATGAAAAAGTATGAAATCGAATATCATTTAACTTTTTGCATCTTAGGCATTAAAACTGAAAGCACTCAAGTTTGTATATAAAATCAGTCTTCCTTGCAAGAAAACAGAAGCTTTGTTTAGTTTTAAACCTCTTAAAATGATATATACAAAAGTGAAGGAAGAATGGAGCCAGAAACATATGGTATCATGGTCACTAGTTTACACTTAAATAGCTATTCTGAAGTAAAATGGTCCAATCTCTTTAATTCTTGTTAGGAAACGTAAAGCATTCTTGTTAAACCCACTAAGTGAACGGCAATATGATCATCATTAGACTTGACATTCATAGATATGATACCTAGGTAACCCAAAGTAGGTCAAAACAGTCGTATAGCGTTCCTTGCTTTTCAACAGTCCATTTATTATCTATGTGAGAATAAAAAATTCTTTGTAAACACCCCAGAAAAAACTACATGCTATTGTTCATCAAACTTTTGAAAAGAAATGTAAAACTTTTAAATCATATTTCTCTATAGATATAGGCACGGTGTAATGCGGAATTTTGCACAAGAGTTAATAGATATACTGTGTGTTTATTCACAGTTCATAGAATGAAAACTTATGTCGTTAAAGACGATGGTTATGTGTGCTGATTATCTAACTGAAGGACTACAAAAACAAGTATTATGGAAGTGAGTTATAAGAAACTTATTAAATTTATGTCATTATATTTTGTTCATTTGTCCCTAGGATTCCTAGTGAAACATAGGGATTCAGTAGCACGCCTCCATTTCACTCTCTTCACTCCAGTTCTTCCAATCTCACTTCACAACTACCCACAACCTATCATTTCTTCATCACACCATCTCCTCCATGTCACCCTCACACACCCAACTCGTCGTTCCCTATTCGAGTTCCACTCAATGGCCTGACGCATGATTTCCTCAAATGGTCCACTCAGTCTATGTCCAATCCAATCCATATCCACTCTCTTCTTCTGCATATTTATTAGGCAATGTGTTCTTGCTTCATTCGTTCGTTGACAGCCACAGTTCCTCCTTTCTAATTCTTATTATTCTCACCATCCATCTCATCTCCATCTTCAATATCGAGTGAGCGTAGGTGCCAGCTGTTCATGTATGCTGTATGTCTGAAGTTTGTTGGAAATGCTTTTCGTAACGCGTCAAGTCTCTCAACCATCACATAGAAGCATTGACTTACTTGACTGACATTAGTGTTGAAAATCCGGATCTTGTTCTTGATGCTCAATGCAGTGCAGTACAGTGCAGAAAGTCTACACACTGATTCCAAGTTAATGAAGGCCTGTTTTATTGTCCTTCTGATCCTGGCCTTGACATCGTCATGTGTGCGTGTGCCACCTGCAGTTGAGACGATTCTGCCCAAGCAGGTAGCTGAGAGAAACAACTTCCTTCAGATTTCCACCAATGATAGTGATTGGTGCTTATTGTTGTTGTTGTTGGTGGTGGTCGGGTACCTTCATCATCTCTGTCTTCTTTACATTCATCTCAGAGAATTCCCATCTTCCTTCGCTGCCCTGCCCTACCTCGCCTCTCCTCTCCTCGCCTCTTCTGCCAACTTCTTAGTCCTTGCCTGTACATCTTTGAGCTTGTGCTACAAGACAATTACTATAAATTATCATCGGAGAAGTCCAAGTCTCCTACGGTCTCTTCATCGGTCAAACAGCGTATATCCATCTTCTCACAGCTCCTCACATTTTCTTGCATGATCCAGTTCAGTCCAGTTTAGTCGACCACAAGCAGGAAGATGATCAGTGAGAGTGGGCGGCAACCTTGTCTTACTCCTATCCATTGTCCTCACTTCAAAGGTATCACTCAGCCCTCCATTGTGAATCATTTGGCATGTGGCGTCTTCACATAGTTGTTGAATGAAGTTGATAAAGGTTTGTGGTACTAAAAGCGTAGTATTGAAGCAGCTGCCAATAACGATAATTTATGAACAGTTGATCATTTCACAAATGTAAATGTTCACCAGTAAACATACACAGAATGATGTATAATTGATGGTCACTGAGTAGTAACTCGTTCCAAACAAAGTAAATCGGGATTCAAACCTACTCGCTTGATGATTATACCACAAGTTTATCAAAAAGATTCTGTTAGTACTTAGAACCAGATGATATGGAATAAGTTTTAGCCTAATGACTAATCAGTACAAATATTCTGTTCTACTGAAGGTTGACCGTCGTCCAGGTAATGATATGAGCTTCAACCTGTGAGGTGTTATTGGTTCACTCGGTGATGTAGACACTGCTTGTTAATGAGTACTAAAAATGCTGAAGCCTAAATTCAAGGCTTCTTGTCAATCACCTTCAATAACCTAGTCCCGAAATGAACTCATATCACATAAGGAATAATGATAGTATTAATTGTAATGGCTTTATTTTGATGGATTTTTCAAGAACACTGTACAAAATTATTAGAATGTCATAAAGCGTCAATATAACAAAAACAGAGACAAAAAATCTACTCCACATAGGACTTTTTGAAAAAAACAGAGATAAGTATGATTGACAGTTATCATAACAATTTGATTCTTTATGGAATAAAAGCAACAAGTTATATAGGCTTTAATTCTTTTGCTATTGAAAAGTTGATTGACTAGTTCGTTAATAACACTTTCTTCTTCACATAGGATACGGGGTATGTAAGGTATGGCAACTTTTATTTATACGCATACGTGCATAAGGTCGTATATACTTGCTCATAATCTTGTTTGATAACTGACATGTGGGTAGGTGTGAGTCAATAAGATACTGATCATTTGATAACATACCCTCTAACAACCTTCTATATGAATGAAGTTGCTTGTTAGCAACAGTATTATTAAGAGAAAGTAAAGGTACTCTGCTAATTCAGGTGACAATCTTCAAAGTTCTACACAATACATCTTATTCTTTTTCTAGCAACCCAGAAAATAGTAAGGAGAGACAACAGAGAAGAATAGACAAGATGTAGGATTTTATACAGTGCACAATAAGAGGGGCAGTTATACCAGAAACTCTCAGTTTTCTGCTATAGTACGCTATGTAGAAGATTGTCTTGGTAACAGGTTAGATATGTAAGGACTAGGAAAGATTATAAGTGAAAAAGCAAACTGAAAGAGATCACACTTGTTACATTCTCAAAATTGGAGCCATCAATAAAACAGGAGTCATTAGATTTAAACTGTTTATACAAGTCATGTTTACATCTGAAACTAAAATTAGTAGACTGAAATGTTAAAGTGAATGTAAGGCTGTACATAGAGAATCATCGTTCAAAAGTAGACAAGTAATCAGCTAGTCACGAGCATCTGGTGAGCAGATAAAAAGCATAGAAACTATTGGGTTAACAGCATGCTTCAAAATATACCTCATCACTGCATAGATGATTACGTCACACTCTGCTCTGTATACCAATCTACATGTGTTTGCGCCTAGATACATTGAGAGGAGTAATGGAACTATGAAGTCAGGGGTGGTGAAGTATATCTCCGAATGGCTAGAAAAACAATCACATTGAAATAATTCAATAAATACAGGGGGTGGACAGACGTTGTCATCTATGGATAAACACATCATAGAAACAGACCACAGGATTGACCCCAAAACAGCCTTTAGAGTAGTAGTCAAGACCATATACTTAAGAAAAACATTGAAGCCTCGGTTATACGAAAATTCAAACCCCCTTTATGAATGCAAAAAACGTGTCCTACTTTGGCAATCTTTATCCCATTTTAATGCCAAGGGAAGTGTGAAAATGTATTGTCCCTCCTTATTATCCTTATAGTTTTTAGATCTGATATCTTAATTTATTTGTCTTACCCCAATCTGTTTTCATCCTTCATATAAAATGTAAATGTATGTTTGAAATGTGTTGAACGAATAGATCACATTTCTCAGGTAACCTCAATCTTCTCACCGTATTATGCAAAAACTGGTTTTAGCTGAAGAAGGTAAGTTATATCGAAAGAAAGAGAGCAATAAAGAGGTAAGAATAGCACCCTGGGAAACATCAACTTCAGTAAGTAATGAAGTGGAGCATTTCCCTCTGTAAATAACATATCACTTCCTTTTGGAGAAATTGGAATACATTCAGTTAGTAATCTAGTACTCATCATGATTCATCGCTAGCCTGCTCAGCAAAAGAGGTCTTGAGACGGAATCGAAGGCTGAAGTGTAGTCTAAAAAGATGAACCTGACATACTCGGCGCCTATTTCCAGACTCTTAAACATATTGCGGTATAAGACAGAGGGAGCACCGAAAGTGTTTGTTTTTTTGCATTCGAATTAATTACGAACTCCAATGGTCTTCGATCAGATCCAAGCACAAGTAATACCAGCTTGTCCATTGTTTTGAGAATGAAGAAGAGATTTTGATCGGTAGAACTTTCAAACATGCTACAGAAGACACGAATCTAGGCACTGAGACCACTTTATTATTTTTTCAGACATTATTTGAAAACGATTCGTAAAAGATGCTAGTTAGTGGAAGGCATAATATATCAGCACATTTCATGAATAGCAAACTTCAAATGACGACCAGTTCCAAACTGCATAAAGAGTTCCGCGATGTTAGACACTTGAACACTTCTTGCTCAGTTGGAAATAACAGTATTCATTAGGTTTGGAAAGACAAGATAGGATACCATCGATAGAATGATGATAATGACGATTTGATCAAGGTGAAGATGTTATAAAATACTTCCTTATTAAGTTCCTTACTACCAGTAAGAACTTTACAAGATTTACGTATAGTGTTGCATGGTAAAAGCTTCTGGTTAGACAATAAATTTGAATGTTTAATTTCCGACCATTTGAAATAGTTCAGTCGTTGAATGCCAGTGTTGTCACTTCTTATGACCTTTCTTTGCCTCTCCATGATCTCCTACATTGAGGAGATGGAAAGATGATCGAAACGTAA